AAACCACCTCAGTGAAAGCAAAAATTGATTGAAATTTTGGCGAGAGAGAGAGAACAGCCTGAATAAACTCACAAGGTAGCCTCTAAAGGCAGTTTGTATTTTCACAGCTGCAGATTCTTGTACTTGTCTCTCACATTGATGTGCCAACTTAGTGGCCTCATTTTGAGCAATATTGATTGACAATGAATTTTCCTCCTCCAAAAATTTCTCAGAAGACCGGGGGGTGCCAGTGAGCCTCATAACCTCAGCAGCAGCATGAGCTGCTGCAGCAGTGCTGGCAATAGCCACAGTCAAAGCATGCCTGCTCTGTTCTTCCTCTGCCTCATTTTGTGTCCTTTGTTTTAATGGTGATGGTGGTGATGGTGCAGTTAATGAGGCTAGTCTTTTGATCTTAAGCTTTCCAAAAATCCATTTCCTTCTCTTCTCCTTCTAAAAATAATTGATCAAATTAGGATAGGGACTTCAAAGTGAAATGAACAAAATAGCAGAAGAAGAAGAATGATTTGCTTACTTTTTTTTGCTTTGACTGTGTCTCTGAAACAAAGAACCTCTTCACTATATTGAACCAGCTCCTCTTTGCCATTGCAGAAACAAGAAATCACATCATGCTAAGGGCAACATGTGAAGCTGGTTTTGCAAAACCAATTTGCACAAAATAGTCAAGAAAACAATAATAAATTAAGTTAATGAACTTTTACATCATTACTTGAAACAGTTATCAAAAATCCTAAATTCAATGCAGATATTTTGTAGGATCTAAACAGCATCTTACCCATCTCCTGAAATCGAGTGATTCGTCTATCGATAAAACCCGAATTCACAGCATCAGCAACTTTCAGCTCCTGGGAATTTGGATGCTACTTTTATAAAGTTCAGGAAAGAAGATCACTTAGACTTCACTCAAGTTAACAATCTCATATAGAAAAGAATAGTTTATTGGGAAACTGAATCACAAACTCTAAGAAGGTTGTTAAGTTTCCAAATTTGATAACAATCCTGAGGGGGTATGTTTGTTGTTTGCAATTCAGCTATTCACATTTTTTTTTTCCTCTTGTTCATGATGAGTTCTTCTGTTCAATATGTGTGGGTGGGTCTAAGCATAGCAATTGTACTGGAAAAAGTTAGAGCTGCTTTGTGTTCAGGGAAGGAGCCTCAAAATGAATTATGAGAAATACTTTTGATGGGGCCTTCTCATCTTTCTGCAACCCCCAATCTTTCTTTAACTGCAGCAGACATGTTCAAATGTCTGATGGGAATCAAATTACTCAACTATCCCCTTCCTTCAGTTGAATAAGTAATAATACCATGCAACAGCAGCCCATCACGTATGATGGAGGACACTGCTTGCTGATGGTGATTTACTCCAATAAGATTGCATAAGTTTTCTGCTGATGAATTCTCAATCCTTGGTTGGTTCTGTATTGTTTATCTATGGTTAAGATTCAATGGTACTGAATTTATGCATGCTGTATTTTTTTTGAAGTGGTAAAAAATGACAGCTCAATTGCTGAAATGGAGACCTTGGATATTTATTTTTCATTGTTGACTGGAAACCTTGATCCATACTTTTTTTGTTGGCATGAGTAAATCCTAGTCAGTGACACAGTGTTGTGTTGTGTTGTGACAATTAGTTCAACAATCTGGGACCTCTATGTTAAAGAGAGCTTGTACCACAGGCAACTACTCTGATGTTGTACATTTGTGACTAGAGTTAAAGTCTTCAATAAAATAATGTATAGATATAGACTGTTTCCCATAATCCACACACCACTATAGAGAGAGAGAGAGAGAGAGAGAGAGAGAGAGAGATTAATTATTGAGGGAAGTGGGGGAGTCACAATGTGCAAGAGAAGAGAGAATGTAGAGAAGAAGACAAAAGAAACAAAAGCAAGCCTTAGGTTGTGGAGGGAAGACAGCTGTTGAAGGGCCCAAAGAGAGGAATTGTCATATTTATATTCTCATCTCATGCATCTTTTACAAAAAAAGTCATAAAGATAAATGATTTTTCTTTCCCATCTAGAAAACCAATTAATATTCTTTTAAAAAAAGAAATAAATTTAAAAAATTAAAATATCACTTACTAATTTTTAATTTGTTATGTGTAATTTTTTTCTCAATAGTACATGAAAAATACGAATAAAATACATAAATAATACGTACATTATTGTGAAACATGTAAAAATACATGTATTATTAGTGAAAATACACATATATACATGTATAATAAACGAATAATATGTTTAGTTCTATTTGATTCTTATACGAAAAACAAAAAATACAAATATATAATACATTTCTTGACCTCCTCCTCCTATGATCCTATCCACTTTCCGCAAGTCATAGGTTTTAATTACTTTGTATAATTATGTCTTTCATTATGAGCACCCGCTTTTGTTTTCCGGCTTAAAGTAGGATAGACAAACGAAAGTCGCATAGTCACACATGGATAATTTAATGTAGGTGATGAAGCCACCTATTTCATTTTAACTTTTTAATTTATTGAATTATAGAATAGGATGATGAAAAATCTAGACATGCATTGATACTAAATCGATATTTTTTCGAGCACTAAATGAAGGTACTTTGCAATGTGATCGTCACATCTAGGCATTTTTTTTACCAAGAAAGTCCAAAAAAGTAAACAATGACTTGAAGACTTCATTTATTTCCATGTTTTCAGATCTATGGAAATGATTGAATTTGTAAGTGAAGGTTAAAGATCTTGTCTTTACCTAATCTTTTCATATTTGGTCACAACACCAGGAAACACGGAAGGTAATGTGGTAGGATGAGAAAGAACAAATTAATGCGAAAAGAAAAAAAAAACTCATGAAAAGAAAGGCATATAATGTTATGTTATGAAGGAGAGACTTAAAAATGGTCCAATGATACCTTCCGAAAAAAAGTTCCAACCATATCTTTGAAGAAGAAAAAGAAGAAAAAGAAATGGGTCCAATGAAAGACACGACTGCAATTTAATCACCTAAATTCTTCATTATTTAGTGTACATAAATAAAACATGACATCAATCACTTTCAAAACCCATACGCTCCTTTTTGAATTGGAAGAAAAAATCTTCTTCTAGAGCGCAGTTTGAAGTCTAAGCTACAAGTGGGACTACTTGAAAGGTACAAGGACAGGGCCGACATAGCCTAAATGTTGTTTACCACATTTACAAGGTCCTTGTAGTTTCAATTTTATCAATTTTATCTTTGCAATTTGAATTCCAAGCAATTCAAGAGCATCTCTCTCTCTCTCCTGTCATCTTCCCCTCTCATCATCTCTCTCAATCTCATCCTCACTCTCATTTTCCTCTAAATTCTAGTACAAAAAATAAAAACTAAAAACTAAAATTGAAATGATTATCAAACGAGCTCTACATAAACCAAAAATAATTTTTACCATAAAGATTAATTATCTCACAATTCAAATTCAATATATTTTTAAATATAAAACATTGTCCCACATTTGACGTGGCTTGATGAACTAAGCCACATTGGACTCAAATGGACCAGCTCATCGGCCGAGCTTGGTTTATAAACATTGTCCCAAGTAGGGGTGGTTGCGGTTTGGTAACCGTGAATTTTTGCCCAAACCACAAACCGACCGACTATTTGCGGTATGGTGATTTTTGAAACCGCAAACTAACCGCTTTTTGCGGTTTACTACAAAAAGTGGTCGGTTACCGTAAATTAGCGGTTTAAAACCGCAAGTTTTTTTTGTGTTATAAAAATCCAATATTCCACATTTTAGCCCTAATTTTGATGCTTCTTTTGAAGTCTTTTGATTTCAAGCATACTTTAACCCAAAAATATAAATTCACAACCTAAATAAATAAATTCACAACCTCAACTTCTCAAGCATATTTAAATTCACAATCTTCTCAACTTCTCAAGCATTCACAACCTAAAGAAAATTAAAGTTACAATTCCAAGCATCCTAATTAAAGTTAAACTTCTCAAGCATTCCAATTCCAAATCATTTAAAGTTACAAACCAAAAGGAAAATGCAATGCAAAATGAATTAAAATTACATCCAATTCAAAGTTAATTAAAGTTACAAACTAAAAGGAAAATACAATGCACCAATGTTACAAATTAAAGTTACAAACTCAAGTGTTGGTGGTGGTGAGTGGATTTGAAGGACCCCGTTGTGTTGTTTGAGCACCAATGTTATCTACAAAATGCAATTTTTTTTAAAAAATATAGTCTCGGTTTGCGGTAACCATAATTTTTGAAAATCAAATACCGTAACCTCAACCGCAAATGCTGTTTGGTTTCCTGCGATTGCGGTAAATTGTCGGTTGGTTTTTGCGGTTTTTCGATCTAAAATGTCACCCCTAATCCCAAGCCCTACCAGATTTATAAATTTTTTTTTTTTTAAAAAAAAGGGTCAAACTATATTAGGTTTTGGCTCATTGGGTTGGACTAACCTTCTTTAACTCGTGAGCTGCGGCCTGCAGACCAATCGATAATCCCTTCCTATTACTAACTTACAATAATTTTATGGGTGGTGCTAGAGGCACCAACTCTCTAATAGAGGTGGAGCCCGCCAATACACCGGGACCCACGCTCTATTAGAGAGTTGGTGCCCAAAGTTGGTGCCTCTAGCATTTTCCTAATTTTATAGTGAAAACCTTATCTAAGGTCCTTAGATGAGACTTTATCTCCTAATCATTAGATTAAATTAGTTAACCATTTGATCAAATTAGTTAAATTAATCCAACAGTTAAAAGATAAGACCTCATCTAATGCCCTATAGAATGACTCCACAAATTTACATACTTATATAGTATACATTAACCTATAGTATCAAATTGTTGGGTTCATTTAGAAACTCCCAGGTTAAGCTGAAAACTACAAATTCGGCTAGGCCCAATGGACACCATCAACCTAAACTTGGGCCTGAATATTGGATCGAGTTGAGCACGAGTTCCGCCATTTACGCTGTCTAAACCTCAGTTAGTCTGCCGCCCGCAAACTTCAACAGTATTTGACTCTCGCTCTCCCTCTCTGGTAAAAGTAAAGCTTTGTTTTTTATCTCACAAAATCTTAGATCCTGTAGTAGTTTCGAAAGCTTCATACTGTGTCTTTATCTCTCTATGAAGTCTTGGAATTGCGCAAATGGGCAATTGGAGACATCGTCCCCCTCGTAGAATCTACCGTCAAGAAAAGCTTCCAAGCGTATACCCACTACCATATCACCCCGAACCTCCTCCCCCTTCAGGTAATTTTCTGTCTTTCTTTGTTTTTTGAACTTGTTTACTATCAATTTGAATTGGGTTCTTCTTGAATTGTTGGTTTGTAGGTTTTTCTTGATGTGTTTTATCTGAATTCTTTATATGGCACATGTTCTAGTTGTTCCAAATTTTCCCCTTTTATCAAATCCTTTTTACTTTTTCAGTAAATGGTTCCTAAGAAAATACCAAAGCTTATAAACACTTAGATATTTTAGATTGTTTATTTGTTCAGCAGAGAAACTTACTGAGAATTCCAGGCGGGTATTATAACAGTCTGGGGAGCAATGCTAGAAAGCACCTATTTATAAGACACTTGTTAGGATTGAAGACTGATAATTGGATATAGATACCTTATTATGGTCTACTTTGATTGGCTTATCGTGAAATAGAACTACATTTGTTTGTGCCCATCATTTATTACTTCTTCTTGTGCTTTGGTGCATTCAAAATGTACAGAGTTTGCGTGCTTTAATTGGTCAGGTTACTTCCGTCGTGTATGTTAAACCCATTAGCCTATGTGTTCACGCATTTCACTCTCTTGAGTGTGCTACTTTGTCTTCGGAATGCCTTTCCTATTGACAGCAGATTTACATGTGAGAAAATAGTTCCCGAAGCCATGTCGAATGACTAATATATCCTTTTCATATTGTAGATTACTAAATTTAAATTGGTCTCCTAAAGTTAAACTCTGCAGAAGAGGATTAATTTATTCTTTCTGTGTAGTTTTGTGTGTTATGTACATTTTACAGAGCCAGCTAATTCGTTTTCTTTGTTACCTATGGAAATTTTTTTCGTTATTTCAATTTACGGTTGGCTTTCAGTTCCATTTATAATTCATTTTGAACAAAATAAGAAACCTTAACATAACTAATTTTGTCTCGAGCATTGTGAGGTTTCTATGATAATTGCTTAGACTCTGGAAATTGTTCAAATAGAAGTCTCTTATCATCTGCATCATATCCTTAGTTCAAGGTTGTTAAAGATGTGAGTTCTGTACTTTCCTTTTTCCTTTTCGTATTATTCTGGTTGGTCATGTGGCTCGTCTCTTATTATTATTATTATTATTATTATTATTAGTTTTTTATGTTCACATGACGTATGGGGCATTAATTCCGTGTCTTGATAATCTCATCATTGTTCAAAGAGTCATTCTACTGGAATCGTACTAATTTTTTTTTTTCTTTTTTTCATTTGTAGGGTTTTGTAAGGATGGTATACCTTATTGGGAAAAGCAATTCTGCACTTTGGTGGGGTCCATGCCATGGTGGAAGGTAGTAGATGCCAAGAGGTATATGTATGGAAATAGTAATGTACTCAATTGGAACGACTCAGCTGGTGAGGAGGCATTTCAAAATGCAAAACAGCGCTTTTGGGCAGACATCAATGGCCTCTCCTGTGACATCTCTCTGCCTGATCCAAGTATTTATATTGATGAAATAGATTGGTACCCTATTATTGATCCCGAACTCATTAAGGAAGTGGATTGTGAGTACTTTGCTCCTGATGAGGAAGAAGGGAATGGCAAGTTCGGGCGAAGAAACAAGAATACAAAATATTCAGCTTTTGTTCCTCCGGATGGACATAACAGGGTCCCAAATAACAGCAGAAATCCTTGGGAATGTGACAACATTCAGGGTAGTGGAGATTTGAAAAACACAGTTCAGGGCAGGAACCAGTGGAATACCAATGGTGACAACCCTTGGGAAAGTGGAAGTACTCAGGGCAATGGAAGTATGGAGAAGAATGCATGGGAAGATAGCAGGGATAAGTCATGGGGATGGAACCAGATGGGAGATAATATCTCTCTGTCAAAGGGTTGGGATAATGATGTTAATCCTTGGGAAGGTGACTGTCAGGGTGTTGCGTCTGTGGAAGGTAATAGATGGGGTGATCCAATATGTAAGTCTTGGGGCTACAACCAGCAGGAGTCAAAGAATGTGGATCATAGTGAGAATCGTTGGGAGGGCGGTCCTAGTCAAAACAATAAATCTCTAAAAGATCAAGGGTGGAGAGATCGTGGAGGAGATGAGTGGGGTTGGAAACAATGGGGGAGCCAGAATAACCAGAAAAATAATTTGGATTTTAGGATAGTAAACAGTGGTTCTGGAGCTAGGAACCAGGGTGGCCATAAGAGGGAACGCCCTCACGAGTATATATCAGGCTATAAAAGCTCAAGATTTCAAGGGAGTGATTATCAAACAGGTAATTGCTGGAGTAGGGGAAATAATAGAAAGAGGGTCAGTTTTGCTCGAGTGTGATAGAGAATGGGGCATTGGTATACGTAATGGGCTCAAAACCGTCTATCCTTGGAGTCAATAGAAAGCAGATTTGCAGGCATGATCTATATATCATATCATTTCTGTTATCTATCTCCTATAGGCAGTGTGTAATTTTGTTCTTCCAGAGTGCAATTTGATTGATATAGTTTGGGGGCCTTTAATTTTAATGGACACTCAACATTTGCGGCATTTATCATTATAGAATTACTTGAACTGAATGTAATGTTACCCCTGCTTTCCAGAAATAAGTGGGACTTGTAGTGTTGACTGGATAAGCTCACAATATTAAATTGAATGCCAAAGTTCATAAAAAAAAACTATGTCGTATTGGTGTGTCCAGTTTTCTGTGTATAACTTCTTGTAAGTGGTGTATGTCTGTGCTTGTGCGATTGTGTGTTTTTTTCCCATATTTTATGGTTCCAAGTTTTTCTCTCATCCTATGATGTGGGGATTGCTCGAGTTCAAGTCAAAGTTCTCTGCTTATGAGTATCAGTCTCTTTAGCAGGGAGATTTGGGCTCGATTTTGGGCCTCTTAAAAAGATCTACTAAATTCAATATAACTCTTACTATTCACCCCTCAAAAAATAGAAAAAGTTAACAAAATAATTATTATTTTTTAAATAGAAATTAATATATATACATATGGTATCATCATAATGCTAATATAATAATCAAATCAAATCGTCATCATGCTAATACATAAATATATATATATATATATATTTTTTTTTAAACCCTATAATAATAGCATTGATACTCTACGCAGCTCAAGTTCAAATCTAAACAAATAGTCAAACAGAAATTAAACAAAATATATGGGATCTCAAGTTATGAAATATCTTTTTTTCAACATGCACATTAGAACCACATTTCAACTATTATAAGAAGTGATAATCTTCAAAGAATTTAATACAATGGACTCATTCATAAAACTAGAGTAATTAAATGCAGCTCAAGTAAATTTTCTTACCTCTCGATTTTGGATGTGCAAATGAGATTTTGAGGAAGAAAAGGGTGGAATAAAATCTTGAGATTGATCGATTGTTTGAGATCGAGAGAGGAAGAGTTGCTTAGAAGAAGCGAAATGTTAAGGTTGATTGAGGCAAAGACATTGAAAAGAAGATAAAATTTGAAAGAGCAGCTGGTCTGAGAGAGATGGAATGAAAAGAAGCGACAAACGGAAGAGGAAAAGATGCCTTTAGGACTCGTAAACCTTTCAATTTATGTTTTTTTTTTAAAAAAATTATAGAAAGGGAACTCAAACTCGGAACATTTTCAAAGAAAGTAGAGAGAAAAATTAAAAAAATAACAAAAAAGAAGGGATCGCGTCCTTTTGATCCCCACGTCATTTTGCCTCTATTCTCATATTTTCCAACACCGAGGACATTGAACATATTTTCAAAAGAGACTACTGAGTGCAGAAACACTCCAGGGAGGGGAAAAAGGAAACTAACAAAACATTTGAAGGGAAAAAAAATCGCAATAGTAAGACATGATGCAATGAGCCTGGTGAGTGAGAAGAAAATATCAAAACATGTGACAAAAGGCAATGATAAGGTAATATGGTTATATAGGGTAGACAATGGTAATTTGGAATAATAACAAATGAATGCGTTACGAACCATACACATAAAAAATGATCGGATTGAGCACATGAATTTTTTTTGGGTATTATTATCTCATTAACAAGTCAAAATCTTATTTTTATTAGAAAAAAGTAAACTATTTCTTGAAATGTTAATACATTTGGAAAATACACCTCATTCGCTTTGAAATAGGAGGGAAGGAAAATCTTCAGTGGCCTATGTATCTGAACGTTATTCAATTGAGGAAGGTGGGAATAACATAACCTTTTTTTTTTTTTTTTTTTGGTCAATGGGAATAACATAACCTAGTCAATCGGTTTTGTCTTCCTCCTACCCAATCCATAGCTTCATTAGCTAAATTTTTTCTCTTCTTCTTCTACACCGGTCCTACATTGAATTTTTGAACTCTATTTTGTCAAGTGGAAAGAATTTTAGAAAGACTGGAAGAGAGTAATAGGGGCAGACACAAATTGTAAAATGCCACCTCAGTCCCCACCCCCTAAACCCCAAAACTTCACCTTCTTCCACGGCCACCGCAAGCCCTCACAGAACCGCCCTACAGTCCGCGGCGGCCTCTCCTCCAAACGCGGCCCTCCCAAACCGCAGATACCCCACCGCCGCCCCCCAACCTCAGCCCTTCGAACTCTCCAAATGGGATCCACACCTCCCCCAATCCTCGCCCTCCACTTCATCATCCAACCCTGCCGACACGACACTCCTCTCATTTCTCTCCCCTATCGCGCGCTTCATTCTCGATGCGTTCCGCAAGAATCAGAACCACTGGGGCCCACCAGTCGTCTCGGAGCTCCGAAAGCTCCGCCGGGTTACGCCCGACCTCGTCGCCGAGGTGCTCAAGGTCCAAAACGACCCCGTCTCCGCTTCCAAGTTCTTCCACTGGGCAGGTAAGCAAAAGGGTTTCAAGCACACTTATGCTTCCTACAATGCCTTGGCCTATTGTCTGAACAGGTCCAACCGGTTCCGGTCCGCGGACCAAATCCCAGAGTTGATGGACTCGCAGGGCAAACCCCCCAGCGAGAAACAGTTTGAGATTCTCATCAGAATGCACTCCGATGCCAATAGAGGTCTTAGGGTTTATTATGTGTATGAAAAAATGAAGAAATTTGGGGTTAAACCCAGGGTTTTCTTGTACAATAGGATCATGGATGCATTAGTGAAGTCGGGTTATTTGGATTTGGCATTATCGGTTTACGAAGACTTTAGGGGTGATGGGTTGGTCGAGGAGAGTGTTACTTTTATGATCTTGATAAAGGGTCTTTGTAAAATGGGAAGAATGGATGAAATGTTGCAGCTTTTGGAGAGAATGAGGGTGAATTTGTGTAAACCTGACGTGTTTGCATACACGGCAATGGTTAAGGTTTTGATTTCAGAGGGGAACTTGGACGGCTGTTTGAGGGTTTGGGAGGAAATGAAGAGAGATAGGGTAGGGGCAGACGTTATGGCATATGCAACTCTGGTTACGGGTCTGTGTAAGGGAGGGAGGGTGGAGAAGGGATACGAGTTGTTTAGGGAGATGAAGGTTAAGGGTTTCCTGATTGATAGAGCTATTTACGGGATGTTGATTGAGGGGTTCGTGGCAGACAGGAAGGTTGGAGCGGCATGTGATTTGTTGAAGGATTTGATGGATTCAGGGTATAGGGCAGATTTGGGGATATATAATTCTCTTATTGAGGGTTTATGTAATGCGAAGCAGGTTGACAAAGCTTATAAGATTTTCCGAGTTACAGTTCAAGAGGGTCTTCAGCCAGATTTTGCTACGGTGAATCCCATTTTGGTGTCTTATGCTGAGATGAGAAGAATGGATAACTTTTGCGATATGCTTGCAGAGATGGAGAAATTTGATTTTCCTGTTATTGATGATCTTTCAAAATTCTTTTCCTTTATGTTAGGAAAGGAGGATGGAGTACTGTTAGCTTTGGAAGTGTTTGGGGAGTTGAAAGTTAAAGGTTATTATAGTGTTGGAATCTACAATATCCTTATGGGATCCCTCCACAAATCTGGGAAAGTGAAGAAAGCATTGTCTCTCTTTAATGAAATGAAGGATGTGGATTTGCAGCCCGACGCGTCTACTTATAGCATTGCAATTATGTGTTTTGTTGAAGATGAGGACATCCATGAGGCTTGTGCCTCTCATAATAAGATAATTGAGATGTCTTGTGTTCCTTCTATCTCTGCTTATTGTTCTCTTGCAAGAGGTCTTTGCAAAGTTGGCGAGATTGATACAGTTATGCTGCTTGTTCGTGACTGCTTAGCCAGTGTGACAAGCGGGCCCATGGAATTCAAGTATTCTCTTACCATTCTCCATGCATGTAAATCTAATAATGCTGAGAAGGTGATTGAAGTACTAAATGAGATGATGCAGGAGGGTTGTCCTCCGGATGATGTTATATACTCTTCTATAATCTCTGGCATGTGTAAGCATGGAACAATAGAGGAGGCAAGGAAGATATTTTCTAATTTGAAAGAGCGCAAACTTTTAACAGAAGCCAACGTGATTGTGTATGATGAAGTATTAATTGAACACATGAAGAAGAAGACGGCAGATCTGGTGGTGTCAGGATTGAAGTTTTTTGGTTTAGAATCTAAGTTGAAAGCAAAGGGTTGTAAACTGCTGTCGGGATGAATTATGAAGCCAGGTACTGAATTCACTGGTTTCTTGGCTTTTAACATGTTTAATATGTATAAGATAGTCCATAACCCATTGGAGAGTACGTACCTTCTGTTGCAATTTGCTTTTAATGCATGAAGTTGTATCGGGTGAACACTGCGATTAAGATCTGTATGTATTTGTGGTTGTAGTCTTCAGAGTGGCAGATGGTGCACCTTTCCAGGGTAGCGTTATGAGGCTTCATATCAGTGGGCATCATGAGTGGTGTTTGTTTTTTCAGTGTCTCATAACTTCTCCAACAGGTCAGTTTAGTTCTCTAAAGCCTTGTGTTAAACCTAGTGAGATCCTTTATTGTCAATTAATGTGCTTTAGCAAGCTGATTCTTGTTTTTTCCCCCCTAGATTGTGCTTTAGCTCGGCATATTTTGGAAAAGAATCAAGAATATTTTGTTTATCAGATATTAAGTGCAAATAGGTGTTAAAGTTATCTTCAAGTTACCAATAACGGAAGTCTCAAATGGCGGAGATGATGGGTTGAAAAAGTTTCAGGGCAGCAGAGAGGCCCGCATATGGATGTGGACGGGGCAGGCTGATTCTTGATATATGTGGAGAAGAAAACCTAGTTCAGAACTTCCATTCTGTGTACAGGTCTAAGCCGTTTACATGGTTATCTGTCTTCCAGTAACCAAGTCTATCAATCAAATTATTGTTGTTCTTGTAATAAAGTCTCTGAGGGTTGATATTCCATTGATAGCAGGGGGAGATATTTTTCTCAAGGAAAACTCCAAGTACCCATTTCAATGACAGTGATTGGCTGAACATGCAGGAGTTGATGTTTCCTAAGTTTTTTTTGCAACAGGCCAAAGATGACAGATCTAAAATGTTCATAATTTGTGAGAGAAATTGAGTCTGCAATGCCAATTTCACGCAATCCGCAATATTCAAGGCGACTTTTGGGTTTTGGCATAGCAGATTTATTTCATGAACCTTTTCTATTTTGTATTCTG